CCTCGTGTAACTGTGACGACGAAATTTAAAAAACAAACATATTCTACTTTATTAAAGACAAGATTATATTGATTAATACCCATTTTCGACTCACCGTTATTAGGCATAATATAGTTTATTATTTTGCTTACTTGAGCCTCTGTCCGAAAGGTTTCATGTTCTTTTGGAAATAGAAATTTACAGATTCTTAAGCGAACCAAACCCCGATTTCTAAAATACAACCTTGTTTTACTGTTAATAAATACGTGCGGCATGATTTGATACGAAACTTTTATGTTATCTCTTCCATCATGACTCATCAAAGCGTGACGCCAAAAATAACTCGTCTGTTTGTTCTAGAACACAAAATACTTAAAACCATTGTTATAAAGATTGTAAAGACATTTGTTTAGATTGTGATAAAAAAATCTCTTGAAATAACAACAATTAACACAATTATAATGCATTAGACTGACAGCCCTTGTACATACTTTCAATAAAATTAAAAATATAATGACGGATGGTGAATCATGTTGTCCACCGAAACATGTAGTGTGTTTTTCTTCTTTTAACCTTATTATGTATGTAGAAGCATTGGTTTTTGTTTGTTTTTTTATTAGACATCATTTTACTTGTAATGGTATATATTTAGTCAAATATAAGTAGTTTGTCATTTCTTACCGTAATATCAGGTTCTTTCAGTCGAAGTTATCAAAAAGGTTACTTATTCTTATGAATGTCATAAATACACATGACACATATTGGAGAATGTCTAAAAACCACGATTTTCTACAAAACAGCATTGCAATTAACAATAAATAGAACTTTCCCTATGGTATAATTGTATTTTTGTTCAAATGTCATTGGAACACGATACTTATTGTTAAGAATATACATTACTAGATTTACTATACCTAAAATACGTAGCATGACATTTGAACAAATTTACAACCAAACAGTTGAGGCTATTAACTTTGTGTTAAAAACTGGCTGGAACACGATACTTATTGTTAAGAATATACATTACTAGATTTACTATACCTAAAATACGTAGGGCCAGTTTTTAACACAAAGTTAATAGCCTCAACTATTTAGTCCCAGTAAAAGGAAGATCACATTGTACTATACATCATTATATTGTTAAAATATTGGACCGGCAACCTGCACCTTTGAAACTGTTAATCACTGAAAACTTATCAGATGAATCGTTTTATTTATTTTTTTCCGTTCCATGTTTCGACTACTTCAGATTTTACATACATTGAGCCTAAAATGGGAAGGTATTTGATAAACCCGATTTAAAAACTAATAACTTGGAGCACTGCTCAAATTCCAGTTTTTAAATTTAGTACTGTATTTTTAGTAAACATCATCATAAAATATGAACTTCAGAAGATAAGACATACTGTATCATAAAACGTCAAGGTTGTTAGATGGTAAGATTAAGTAAACCAAACTTTCATCTTATCAACACTCTTTATTCAGGGGTAGCGATAACCTTATATTTAAATAAACATATTTTTAAGGTATGCCTTTTGAAGTGTTTAACGAAGTAAATAATATTTTATTCTCGAAACGAAACAGTATTTCTGCTTACCAAGCTAATACATAAAAGCCATCTTTCGGAGACGACTATGACGTCACATAAGAAAATTTACAAATAGCGGAAATATTTATATGATCCGGTAATCTGTTCTATATAGATAAAGGGACCATCTATGAAATGTCATCATTCGTATGGCAGGTAATTTTGTGAAGATTCCTATGTCCTAGATGTTTTGTAGCGAGTAATTCAGACTTTGATTTCTTTTCCCAAAGTAACAATTGTACAAACAAACCTGTAGCAAACACTGCTACCACAGTTAAACAAAAATGTTGTTGGGTGAAAAGTTTGACTTAATTTGTTTTAGAATTTTCATGTAAAGCTACATAAAATGCTACTGCATATAGCCTTCTCTACTTTCGAAGTGATAGACTATGTGAAAGAAAACATCACCCACTGCCATTTCTTGGGCTACTATTGTCGGATCGAATAATGGGTTTGACCATCACTCTTATATTACATTAATTCAATACATTAAAGCGATTCGCTGTTCCTTCAACAATTTTCAAAGAATTACGTTTGTCATAAAATGTTAGTGTCAATCCGAATACGTTTTTAAACACCGTGTTCTTAATTTGGTCCATTAGAGATTTTCAAGAATGAGAAGAGTGTATGATAACACTGTTCTAGCTATACTATACTTGTAATATCCGTTGCCGACGCCGCGTTTCGCTCAATACAGAGCTCTTCAGGCCGGTCGGGTTATACACTCTTCTAATTCTTGAAAATCTCTATTATCGACTGTAATATCTTTATGTTGTGGCAGAATTTTCAATTTTTTCTATTTCTTACATACCCCTTATGCTCTGTTAAACGATATTCTAAATTACATTTTGTCTGTCCAATATAAATACTTCCACATTCACATTCAATTTTATAAATTACTGCTTTTCAGGTTTACTTTATGTTATCTTTAGTCTTACTAAAAGTTGGTTTATTTTATTTGTTGATTTGGATATAATTTTGTATATCTGTTGTTTCTTAAACACTTTAAATAAACTAGTAGTTAACTTGGAACATATTCCAAAACTATACATTTCTTTTCCATTTTATCATAACTTGGATTTAAAATAATACTTTGATCCATTATTAAACCATTAGTGAATTTCTTGACACCTCTATCTACAGTATTTGGGTTAAATCCCTTTTCAACTGCTATATATTTCATTAATAAAAATTCATTTTTTAAATCTTCTTTTTAATATATACCTTCAAAATTCTGTGAACATAAGTGTAAAACGCAGATATTTTTTGTGATCTATTATGACAACGGGTTCCGATAAATTGATGTTTCTAAATTACCTTGTAAATATTTTTTACCAATACATCTAGTTATTATTTTTCTCAATTTCATTGGTAAATTGTAATTAGATGGTTTTATGCTATTCAAATAGCACGAAAATTGATAACGTTATATTACCATATCTCCATACCAAGAACGTG